GTACATTCAAAATGCAGCAGCTCGAGTCCTGACTAGAACCAGGAAGTACGACCACATTAGTCCAGTCCTCAGGTATCTGCACTGGCTTCCTGTGGCTCAGAGAATAGACTTTAAAACAGCTCTGCTTGTGTACAAGTCTCTCCATGGCCTCGCACCAAAATATATTAGTGACATGTTAGTCCCATACGAACCAGGCCGGACTCTGAGGAGCACAGGGACTGGACTCCTGTTAGTGCCCAGAGTCAGGACTAAACATGGGGAGGCTGCTTTTCAGATTCATGCTGCTAAAATCTGGAACAATCTTCCTGAAGATGTGAGACAGGCCTCCTCTCTGACAATGTTTAAAACCAGGTTAAAAACAGTTCTGTTTAGCTGTGCATACAACTGAGGGATTTTATATTTTTATCTTTCTTTTTAATGTTCTGTGATTATTTATGATTTTAATGCTATCTTGTTCAGCACTTTGAGTTACCTTGTGTATGAATTGTCCTATACAAATAAACTTGCCTTGCCTAAACAAGGGAATGAGACTTTCTGGTGTGTAAACTATTGCTTTAAGCATCAATGACAACTGTCTTTTTCCATGTGACTAGTGAGCTGTCAATCACAGTCCAGACCATGCCCAACTCTAAGCCCCTTCTTGTCCCTTGGTCCTCCAGGCAGCACCCTTTTTAGAGAAAATTTTCAAATGTTCAGTAAGGCTGGTCACAGGTGTTTAGTCGCTCTTTAAGTTAAAGATTGTATTTTATTTTAAAATAGAGTTATTGTTCAATCGTTGTGCTGTGTGCTCCTCGTTCCTAGTGTTCTGTAACTGGGGATGCAACACTGACATTTCCCCAGTGTGGGACGTATATGATCTTTAAATCTGAATTTTACTCTTAAAACCAACGTCTCTCTGTGTTTTTCTCCTCCTTAACAGAGCACCACGCTTGCAAGTCCTGAGCTACGATTGGCCAGGAGTTTTGTGCGGAAAGGTGATTGACCATGACGCCTGAGTTCTGATTGGGCAGAAGCAGAGTCTGTCCTCCAACCGCGTGCTGTTCACCTGGAGGACCCGCCCACATCACCTGCCAATCTACCATGGCTCAGGGCAGCTGGAATGGGTGTTCTCCAGTTTGATATTTAGGCTATATCCACACGAAGACAAAACGCTTATAATTTCAGAAACTTTTTCTGTAAACACGGAGTTAGCTCAGTAAATGTGTGCGTCCATATGAATGTAGTCAATACGCCTGAAAACGCTGTGAAACTATGCCAGACCTGTTGGTGGCGCTGTGACGCAATGACGGGATCAAGCCCAAACTTCCGTGACGGGAACTGGGCATGCGCGGAATTTTGTAAACAGACAACATGGCGAGTGGGCGAGCTGGTACTACATTAGTATGGACGGACGATGAGGTTGAACTGTTGCTTCGGGTCACACTGGATTACAAAACCAACAAGCTACATTGTTGTTGTCATTATTTTCTGAGTGCGGCGCATGCGTGCTTTAACAAGAGGCGGGGCGATGACGCAAGCGTCTCAGATACATTGCGGAGAGGCAGTCTCCACGGAGCGGCATATACGGAGTTTTGAAATCTTTCCACTCTGGGACCTAGTTTCAAAAATGTTCGTTTACACCCCCCCAAAACGCCGGCCTCGTATGGACGATACACTGGATTGATAAAGTATTTTTGCGTTTAGGCCTGAGCTTGACTTCGTGTGGACAGGGCCTTAGTTTGCGTCTCTGTCACTTGTGCCTTTTGTTCAGTGACTCGTTTGCAGTTTTGCTGAGGCACTTTAGTTCAGCTTATACAAACCTTTACTTCTACTAATTGCTTTCTTTAATTCTCTTTGTGTTTCTGTAAAAATTTAGTTCTATATTGTCAGCCCTTTTTATTTGCCATAAAAAAAACTTTTCCTTTTAGTTATAATTTCTACATCATGGTTTGATAGTTGCTTCCTTAGCTGGGTCGACTTTTTGGTGAACCAGAAATAAGATTTATTTATATAATATAGTAATATATTTTACAATTGTCTGTGGTGCCCAATATTCCTAAAAACAAACCTTTGTCTTCAGTGACTTTGATTAAAAATATGGATCGACCAAAAGGTTTTGTCTCTTTTGTCATATCACTCAGACTTTTCTACTAAATGTGTGCTTGTCTAATTCAGGCAGTAAATGTTTTAAGAGGTAACATGAGGGCAACATTGAATCATTCCATATTTCTGTAAATCAAATGGGTTTACATGTATTTATCATGCATTGATTCATTTTCTTCCAGTTTATCTTCAGAAGACTTTGATCAGGATTTTTGAGGCCATGGATCAGAGTTTGCATAGGTTTCCTCCAGGTGCTCTGGTTTTCCCTACCACTAAAAACATGAATAACAGATTTATCGATGAATAATATAGTACAGTGCTTTGTAACAAAAGCAAAAAAAAAACGGAAACATTTGGCGAGTCTTTTAACCAGTAATTTTTCCTCAGTATGTAACTGCTACATCTCGTTGACCTCGTTTATACGAGTCGGTTTCTTGGGACGTATTGATTCTTCCTGTTTAGAGCCATCTGGGGATTTAAACCTTCATCCAACATCCCGGCACATCTGTGGGGATCTCCGGCAAGCCTCCGCATACAGAGAAACAATAAATCAATGCTTTATTCCACCAGTTTCAGAGTCACCAAATATGTGCGGAGCAGCTGCAGCCTCATGACTCACTGAACCTGACACGATGGGCCAGTTTCAGAGGAGCACTGAGTGACAGTTCTTTGGGATTTCAGCTAAAATAGAAAAGTTGCAAACATGAAACAGCAGAGGAAGTTTCAGGCTCATGTTTGACGAAGGGACTCAGCCTGAAACGTCACCATCGCGGTTTGTAAAGAGGACACTTGGGAGCAACATAACTGTGCAGATGTTTCTCCATTTTCTCCAGAATCCGAAGTTCAAACAAAGCATCCGCCAAACCTTTCAATGTAAATATCACCATAATATCACAATTTGCAATATAATTAATGCTGGAAAACCTGCACAGCTTTAGTGAAAAACACATTTGGATGAAGCTTTAGTGAAAAATACAAACAACACATTTGGATGAAGCTTTAGTGAAAAACACAAAAAACACATTTGGATGAGGCTTGATGTGGAGTTCCTCTGCCACAGCTGTGATCACAGCCGCCGTTTCTGCAGGCGCTCAGACCAAACGCATGTATACTGTCTACTCACTGGTGCCATCTCTGTATTTCAGTTTCATTATGTCACTCAAAATTATATCAGCAAGTCTTCACATAAACTGCATTATATCCCCCAGCCCTAATAACATTTCCTCTCCATGAAAATGTTCTCCAGGGGCATCACTTCTTTTGAAACATCCCATATACACTGACCTTTCGGGATCTAAACAACGCATCAATTATCATAATACTCGCAGCCCAGGTCTGCAGTAACCACTCATCCACGTTATAAAGCGTGTCATTGGTGGATAAAGATTAGGTGCAAGTCGTATTGAATAGTACGACCTTCTACACTGGAAAAACATCTCACAACCAGCTTTTGCACAAATTCAAAATCAAGGCCACCACTTTTATAACAAATACCTCATTCTTTAACCCGTATAAACATCTATAAGTTTGAAAAATGTGTAAATGGTATATTCATATTTCTATAAATCACTCATCCCATCACAATATTTGGACAGTTGTGGCAAGGGAAAGAACCACGTTTTAAAAAAGCATATACCGATAAAGACCAACTTGCCAAAAAATGTCTGTTTTGTTGATATTGAAGCGTTAGTGATGGTAAGATGTTTAACAAGGACAGTGCACAATAAATATTAGTGACAATAAGAAAAATGCATAGTACCAGGTTTTAACAGAAGCACTAATTTACACTTTTCCTTAACAGCTAATATCATACCATAAAAACCAGATAATAAAGAGGAAGGTGGTCAAAAATAATGTCATTTGCATTCATTTTCTTTGCTGGTTTGTTTACAGTATGTTAACAACCAGCCTGTGATACGGCCATGGTCTCACTCACACCCACTCCAGAGACCACATCACCCCCATACTCAAACAACTTCACTGGCTCCCTGTTCCATACAACATGGTCCTCCTGATCACAAATCTCCATTAGCTCCTCCATCAGCACTGTCTCTCCACCGATCCAGACTTCAACCTCCTCACTCCTATCAGAACAAAATGACAAAAAATGGGAGGAGCAAGCCTTCTGAACCCCAAGTACCGAGCCTTTTGATCCCCAAGTACCGAGCCTTCTGAACCCCAAGTACCGAGCCTTCTGAACCCCAAGTACCGAGCCTTCTGAACCCCAAATACCGAGCCTTCTGAACCCCTAGTACTGAGCCTTCTGAACCCTGAGGACTGAGCCTTCCCTGTAGCTACTCCCACTCTCTGGAACATCAGGAACTCCAGCTCACTTCAGAAAATCAAATCACTGCTAAAAACAAAAACCCACTTCTTACCCACACTTAACTGTTTATTTTAGATGTTTTTTCTTTCATACTAACATGCATCATAGAGTGTTCAAAGAGTAATTTATAGTGCGACCGTATTCATATATTATCATCATTATTATTATTGTTAAGGTGAAAAGACAACAGCAATAGTCCTCTTATGTCTTGGCTCAACATGGACCCACAAGCAAGTATACATGCTTGTATGCGTGCATGTATACATGCATATATACATGCTTGTATGCGTGCATGTATACATGCATATATACATGCTTGTATGCGTGCATGTATACATGCATATATACGTGCATATATACATGCATATATACATGCATATATACGTGCATATATACGTGCATATATACATGCATATATACATGCATATATACATGCATATATACATGCATATATACATGCATATATACATGCTTGTATACATGCAAGTATACAAGCATGTTTGCAGGTGTCAAGTGGGGTGCATGCCTTCAGAAGAACCCAGTGACACATGTATAACTTCAGATGCATGGAGGAAAGAGCGTTGGCAGGTGATCACTGGGCACACACACTGACCTTCTGCTGCCTCCGGGCCATGTCTGTGGGCTGCTTGGCGTTGAACGGGTATGCGATGCACCTGAGCACAAACACATAGATCTGCACTTTGATCTTGCGCTCTTCTTCCTCCCGTATCTGTCTGTCTCGCTCCTTCTGCTCCTCTTCCTCGGCTGTAGGAGCACAGTTCCCCGGGGGTCCAGGGGCTCCAGCTGCTCCGGGGGCTCCGGGGGCAGGTGCACAGGCAGGAGTCCTCTTGTGCACAGTCCGCCCGGAGCTGCCGCTGCTGCCGCTGCTGCTGCCTCTCTTCACCGCTGAACACGAAGCTTTCCTCGGGGCCGGGGCAGAGGGCTCCGGGACCAGCTCACACTCAGACTCTCCGCCGCTGTCCTCGCTGGAGGAAGGGTCGAGCATCGTGTCCTGAAGTCCCGCTTTAGTCCAAGTGGAAAACACTTTTGACTTTGTTTGTTTTTAGGCGACGTGGCTTTGGCGGCGGTACTTTTCAGAGGAGAAGCCGTGAGCTCCACAAGTTTCCAGAGTGTCCCCCTCCTGGACGCGGTGTAGGTCCAGGTCTGCGGCGGCAGGACGCGCTGGGAGGAGTTTGTGGTGAATGTTGGAGCCGAGTGTGAGTGAGTCTGCTGTGGAGGAATGGCTGCGCGCTCCCGCGGCGGCACGCTGTTGCTCTGAGCCGCGTGGACGCGCCTCAGCACAGCGCACAGGTGTGCAACCTGTAGCTCACAGAGACAGGAGAGGAACAGGAGCTCTCACTCTGTCCAAGACCGAACTCTGTATGTAGCCCATGGCTGTGTGTGTGGGTTCGTACAATGACAGACGTTTGGTGAAATCAAATAGGGTTTTGAGTCGTCAAAATCTTAGCTGTTTGAGACTCGGTGGAGCTGACATGAAACACTAAATACTTGCTTCATTTATGTCAAGATATTTGCTAGTATAATACATCCACTTTTATGATGCTTTACTTTAGGGAAAACAGCTCTGTCTGTCTTCTGGTGCACAACCTTTATAGCCGCTTACTCTTTAAACCTGACGGTCTTCACAATTGTCAATCTTTGTGTGTGACATTTTTTTTCACCAAACAACCCGAAGAAAATACTAAACTAACTCGTATACAGTTTAATATTGTTGTTCCTAACACTGATGCATGTTATTGTTGTTGCTATTCCAAACAATAATCTATGTTTTAACAAATATAAATATATATCCTAAAACCTTCAAACAAGGTCAAAAAGTGTGACGTGCTTTCTCTCTGAGGAATAGCTTTGATAGTGGCCACTCAGAGAGATAGTTAACTTTAATAAAAAACATCATGACAGCTCAATCAAAAAGCACTGGCTGTGTCACCAAAAATGGCCCAGTATCCTCATAGTATTTAATTCTCGGATCTGAGTGCATTATTAGGACCCTTTTGTAAACATCTGCTGAACTCCCAGTGAAACTCAAGCCGATCCCCGCGCTCCGTAAGTCAAGTGGGTTATAAATAAAAACCAAACTGTAATCGCTAACAAAGGGAACAGACCCAGACGTTAACATACAGGGAAATGAATAATTACGGAGTGTACGGATGGCCCAGGCTAGTACAGTGCATATCCCACTGCCTTTATCTGTGACCTGGAGACTTCTGACCATGTATCAGCCAATCCAACTCAAGCAAATGCAAAGGGGCTATGTGCAGGCGTGGGGGGCGGCCTGGATCTCCATGGGGGTTAAGGTTAGGTGTGGGGAAGGCCTGGACCTCCAGGGGGGCTATGTGCAGGCGTGGGGGGCGGCCTGGATCTCCAGGGGGGCTCTGTGCAGGCGTGGGGGCGGCCTGGACTTCCAGGGGGGCTATGTGCAGGCGTGGGGGCGGCCTGGATCTCCGTGGGGGTTAAGGTTAGGTGTGGGGAAGGCCTCGACCTCCAGGGGGGCTATGTGCAGGCGTGGGGGAGCGGCCTGGATCTCCATGGGGGTTAAGGTTAGGCGTGGGGGAAGGCCTGGATCCCCATGGGGGTTAAGGTTAGGTGTGGGGAAGGCCTGGATCTCCGTAGGGGTTAAGGTTAGGTGTGGGGAGGGCCTGGATCTCCATGGGGGTTAAGGTTAGGTGTGGGGAGGGCCTGGGTCTCCATGGGGGTTAAGGTTAGGTGTGGGGAAGGCCTGGACCTCCAGGGGGGCTATGTGCAGGCGTGGGGGGCGGCCTGGATCTCCATGGGGGTTAAGGTTAGGTGTGGGGAAGCCCTGGACCTCCAGGGGGGCTATGTGCAGGCGTGGGGGGCGGCCTGGATCTCCATGGGGGTTAAGGTTAGGTGTGGGGAGGGCCTGGATCCCCATGGGGGTTAAGGTTAGGTGTGGGGAAGGCCTGGATCTCCATGGGGGCTATGTGCAGGCGTGGGGGGCGGCCTGGATCTCCATGGGGGTTAAGATTAGGTGTGGGGAAGGCCTGGATCCCCATAGGGGGGGCTATGTGCAGGCGTGGGGGCGGCCTGGATCTCCATGGGGGTTAGGGTTAGGTGTGGGGAAGGCCTGGATCTCCATGGGGGTTAGGGTTAGGTGTGGGGAGGGCCTGGATCCCCATGGGGGTTAGGGTTAGGTGTGGGGAAGGCCTGGATCTCCGTGGGGGTTAAGGTTAGGTGTGGGGAGGGCCTGGATCCCCATGGGGGTTAGGGTTAGGTGTGGGGAAGGCCTGGATCTCCATGGGGGTTAGGGTTAGGTGTGGGGAAGGCCTGGATCTCCGTGGGGGTTAAGGTTAGGTGTGGGGAGGGCCTGGATCCCCATGGGGGTTAAGGTTAGGTGTGGGGAGGGCCTGAGTCTCCATGGGGGTTAAGGTCAGAGGTGGGACAAAGTCATTGTTTAGCAAGTCACAAGTCAGTCTCAATTCATTGCCCTCAAGTCCCGAGTCAAGTCACGAGTCAAGACAGGCAAGTCCCGAGTCGAGTCCAAGTCAAAGGCCATCAAATCTCAAGTCAGTCCCAAGTCCTACGGTTTGACTTTCGAGCCCTCTCGAGTCTTTTTGACCGCGATTTGTTTCTTGTTGGTCTCCACGTACTTTTGTAGGCAAACAAAATAATGTTAGGAATCATTTTGCTGGTGCATTCTCGTTGGTCTCTGACCCATGGACTAACAGTTTGTTCCATGTCGTTGGCTGCTGGTAAATCAAAACTATCTACGTGATCTAATTGGATGTTGTGCCAGATGCAGGCTCAGTTACACATGCACAGACCACACATAAAATCAGAGCAGTCCGTGTCAACATACTTTTTATCTTTGGGGTTTTTAATGGGAAGTAGCAAGTGCAGCAGTGCAGCATATATGAATATGAGTATTGGGCTAGGACCTGTATCTATATAATCAGTTTAATGTCCGTAGTGGTTATTGTTCCAAAGGACTGAAGGGACCAATGGAGGGGAAGGAACCTGGCCTGTATGAACTGGACCAGTATTAGTAATATCTCATAATTAGCAATATATCATTACATAATAAAATGTCTCATATAAATTAATTCAATCAGTCAAAGCACTGATTCTCATATCAATGCACCATAAAACAATAGTGCAAATATTAATCTAGCTTAGTGCACATAATCAAAACAACTATCTAATGTATGCAAACTTTAGCAGGAGGAGCACAGCAAAAACATACTCATAATAATAGGCCTCGGCGCCCACACAGAAAAATATAAGAAATAGCTAACAGAGCAGCGCAGGCTAGCGCTAGTTTGACTCACCAGTTCCTCTTTAAAACACGGCACACAGTGTGACAACTGCGTCGATTCAATTGTATGAGGCGCCTGTAGTGAAAGCATATCAATTACGGTTTGTAGAACAAAATATGACGTTAGGTCGCGATAAATACCTGCAGCTCGCTCATTTCCAGCTCCCCTAGACAACACACCCACCGGTGAATGCAGTGCGCTTGTTTAGGGAAGTGTTGCTGCGCGAACTGCGGGGAACTCATGTTCGAACTCTCTCGCGAGCGCTACAACTACCGCGAGGCTTTGTTTCTTCAGAGACGGCATAGATAGAAAGAGAGATGCGGAGAAAGGTAAATATGGCCCGGGTTACGCAAGTCTTTACAAGTCAATTGGCGCAAGTCCAAGTGAAAGTCAGAGTCATTGATGTTAAAGTCCAAGTCGAATTGCAAGTCTTTTTACATTTGGTCAAGTCGAGTCTAAAGTCATCAAAATCATGACTCGAGTCTGACTCGAGTCCAAGTCACATGACTCGAGTCCACACCTCTGGTTAAGGTTAGGTGTGGGGAAGGCCTGGACCTCCATGGGGGTTAAGGTTAGGTGTGGGGAAGCCCAGGACCTCCAAGGGGGCTATGTGCAGGCGTGGGGGCGGCCTGGATCTCCAGGGGGGCTATATGCAGGCGTGGGGGCGGCCTGGATCTCCATGGGGGTTAAGGTTAGGTGTGGGGAGGGCCTGGATCTCCATGGGGGTTAAGGTTAGGTGTGGGGAAGGCCTGGATCTCCATGGGGGTTAAGGTTAGGTGTGGGGAAGGCCTGGACCTCCAGGGGGGCTATGTGCAGGCGTGGGGGCGGCCTGGATCTCCTTGGGGGTTAAGGTTAGGTGTGGGGAAGGCCTGGATCTCCATGGGGGTTAAGGTTAGGTGTGGGGAAGGCCTGGATCTCCATGGGGGTTAAGGTTAGGTGTGGGGAAGCCCAGGACCTCCAGGGGGGCTATGTGCAGGCGTGGGGGGCGGCCTGGATCTCCAGGGGGGCTATGTGCAGGTGTGGGGAAGGCCTGGATCTCCATGGGGGTTAGGGTTAGGTGTGGGGAAGGCCTGGATCTCCAGGGGGGCTATATGCAGGCGTGGGGGCGGCCTGGATCTCCATGGGGGTTAAGGTAAGGTGTGGGGAGGGCCTGGATCTCCATGGGGGTTAAGGTTAGGTGTGGGGAAGGCCTGGACCTCCAGGGGGGCTATGTGCAGGCGTGGGGGTGGCCTGGATCTCCTTGGGGGTTAAGGTTAGGTGTGGGGAAGGCCTGGATCTCCATGGGGGTTAAGGTTAGGTGTGGGGAAGGCCTGGATCTCCATGGGGGTTAAGGTTAGGTGTGGGGAAGCCCAGGACCTCCAGGGGGGCTATGTGCAGGCGTGGTGGGCGGCCTGGATCTCCATGGGGGCTATGTGCAGGTGTGGGGAAGGCCTTGATCTCCATGGGGGTTAGGGTTAGGTGTGGGGAAGGCCTGGACCTCCAGGGGGGCTATGTGCAGGCGTGGGGGCGGCCTGGATCTCCGTGGGGGTTAAGGTTAGGTGTGGGGAAGGCCTGGATCTCCGTAGGGGTTAAGGTTAGGTGTGGGGAGGGCCTGGATCTCCATGGGGGTTAAGGTTAGGTGTGGGGAGGGCCTGGGTCTCCATCCGGGTTAAGGTTAGGTGTGGGGAAGGCCTGGACCTCCATGGGGGTTAAGGTTAGGTGTGGGGAAGCCCAGGACCTCCAGGGGGGCTATGTGCAGGCGTGGGGGCGGCCTGGATCTCCATGGGGGTTAAGGTAAGGTGTGGGGAGGGCCTGGATCTCCATGGGGGTTAAGGTTAGGTGTGGGGAGGGCCTGGATCTCCATGGGGGTTAAGGTTAGGTGTGGGGAGGGCCTGGATCTCCATGGGGGTTAAGGTTAGGTGTGGGGAAGGCCTGGATCTCCATGGGGGTTAAGGTTAGGTGTGGGGAAGCCCAGGACCTTCAGGGGGGCTATGTGCAGGCGTGGGGGGCAGCCTGGATCTCCAGGGGGGCTATGTGCAGGCGTGGGGGCGGCCTGGATCTCCAGGGGGGCTATATGCAGGCGTGGGGGCGGCCTGGATCTCCATGGGGGTTAAGGTAA